AGTGCCTGCACCTAGCACGACGGGGCCCAATCTCAGACAGAGTCTATGCAGTGCCTGGCAGGATGGGGCCCCGTCACGGACTCACAGGTTGTGCCCACTCTTGGCCTGTATGGTCCCTGGGAGGAACCCCTTTCAGTGTGACAGCCCTTCTCGGGGGTCCACTTTCTCTTGGGGGTTAAGTACCTCCACTTCCTGGAACCACACCTCTCTGAGCCTTAGCACGCCTGTCTCTCGCTGTGGGCCCCCTCAAGGAGTCCACTCGCTCTGGACCCCTGGGGCCTCCATTCCCAGAGGGAACAATACCACCCTGTTCTCTAGACCGGAGCGACTCTCAGCCAGAGTAACACAGGAGGGTTTATTGAGCGTCTGAACAGAGCACAGGAAACTCTCAGGGCCCTCAAGCCTGGCCTCCCTCAGCACAGTACATCTAAGTCTCTCCTGCATCCAGGTGGGCTCTGCCTGCTCTCTCTCCAGACTGGAGCCCCTGTGCTTTCCAGCTGGGCATCTGATATCACCTTTCCCCAAGCCCCGCCTCTGTCCATTGTCTTCTATCCAGGTAAACAGGGTCGCTGGCCTCTCAGCCATCCTTTATACCCCTCTGGCTGGTCAGGTCACCGGGGTCCTCTCTCCGCAGCCCATTGCCCTCCCATTGGCCAGAACTGGCTGTGACTCCCAAGCTGGTTCTCCACAAGCTGGTTCTCCAGGTCACCGATCGCTGGGGTATCCATTCTCCAGGCCATTGGCTGAGGTCCCAAGTTCCCTCACTGGTCCTCTGTAACAACAAACTCCCTCTCCTACCACCTTGTTAAACCAGTAACACCCAGGGAAACTGAGTCCCACCCCCTCTGCATGCAAATCCTTGAAAAAAAAACAAGAAAAAAACAAGAGAACCCCCCACTTTGTCACATGGGGCCTTTCCCCCCATGGGGCACCAGCGCTGATCCAGCCCCAGGGCAGACACTGCTTGGCTCAGGGGGCGGGGTGTGTGCAATGGGTCAGGACTGAGGTGCTTTTCCCCCCGGCACCTGTCCTGCACCTGGGGAACCCTGCTACAGCTGCTGCTCTCGCCCCAGATGGGCCAGACCCTACCTGGGACTCTCAGCTTTTGGCCTCACCTCTGGGGCTCCTGCAGCATGTCTATGGAGGGGGGGTTCCCATCCTGCTGAGGGGCAGCCAGACCCCACCCCTGCCCCTGCCCCCAGCCACTAAACCAGTTCCTGCCCCTGCCCAGAGACCCCCCCAGCTTGTTTTAGCCCCTAATCCAGCTCCTGCCCAGATACCCAGAGCCCTGCCCCCCATCTTGTCCCAGACCATAATCCAGACCCTGCCCAGAGACTCCCAGGGCCCTGCTGCCCCAGCCTGGCACTTCCACTCCCCATAGGCTCAGGCCTTGTGGCTGTTTCTGCCCCCCGCCCCCCATTCCCAGTGCCCCATCAGGGCCCGGGCCATGGGGATCCCCCAAGGTAGCCCCCAACAGCCAGAGCAGGGGAGTGAGGATGCTCGGCATCTCGGGGCAGGTGGGTTGGATGGAGTCTGGATCCTTTGCTGGTTTATAGGCAACTGGGTGGGCTGGGCCCAAGGCCATAGCTCGGAGGATGTCGCACCTGCAGTAGCAGTTGGCAGCATGCAGCTGGGAGATGATTAACCCAGCCAGGCAGGCAGCTTCGCAATCTGACATGCTGTGGGGGGCAGGAAGGGGTTAAGCCCCATTCCCAACATGGTCAGCCTGGCATCTCCACCTCCACCCATAACTGCTCCTGCCCAGCAGCTTCCACACAGTCTGTTACACCCGACAACAGCTTCTTCCCTGGGCAGGGCTGGAATGTGCGTATGAGGGCACCACTGGGGGGAAACTCACAGCCCTGTCACGGACAGGGAATTGCTTGGGTGCGAGGAGAGCTCACAACCCTGGTGCTCACAGGGCACTGCTGGGGGAAGCTCACAGCCCGGGCATTGACATGGCACTGCAGGGTCGGGGGACTCACAGCCCTCACATTTACAGGGCACTGCTGGGGTAAGCACACAGCCCAGGTTTTCACAGGGCACTGCTGGGGAAGCTCACAGCATTGGCACTGACAGCATTGCTGGGGGATTCAGGGGGGTCAGCACTCCTGGCAGAGTGGAGTGGTCTGTGCAGCTGGGTCCCGGCTGCGTTGGCCCTGAGGTTTGAAGGATGGGGGGAGGCAGGAAAGGGGCTGCCCTACCCGGCTTCAAGAAAAGCCCTGGTGATGCCAGCCTGGGGCCCCTCCCAGGGCAGCAGCTGGCAGCGCAGGGCTGGGAGATGATTAACCCAGCCAGGAAGGCAGTGTTGCAGACTGACATGCTGTGGGGATTAGAGGGGGTTGAGCTCCATTCCCAGAACAATCAGCCTGCATCTCGCCCACCTCCACCCATAACTGCCCCTGCCTGGCAGCTTCCACCCAGCCTGTCACACCCAACAGCAACTTCTTCCCTGGGCAGGGCTGGGGTGTGCATATGAGCAGGCCCACTGCTGGGGGGAAGCTTACAGCCCTGGCGCTGACAGGGCACTGCTAGGAGCAAAGAATGTGTGGTGGTCCTGGACTCATTCACTAGCTGGGCAGTGGGTCGGTCACTCCAGACAGAGTGGAGGGTGTGTGTGGCTGGGTCCCAGCTCCCACGGCCCTGAGCTTTGATGGATGGGGGGAGGCAGGAGAGGGGCTGGGATGTAGGGGAGAAGCATGGGAAGCACACACATAGCTGGCAGGACTATCCCTTGGGGCCGGTGACCTGTGCCCTCTGCCCAGCTCTGGAGCCTTGCCCCAGAGTGCTGGGTGGGGTGGGAAGATTGATCACAGCCTTCCAGGGAAGGACAAATTCTGCAGCGCACATGCCCTCTTGGCTTGCAGCTGGCCCCATGCAGGAGGGGGCAGCCCCCAAGAGCAAGCAGCTGCTTGCATTTCCCAGGGGTGGGTCTTCCTGCTAACAGGGTGCCCCTCCCTGGGGCCAGGGGCTCATCCTGCACGATGGGCATAAACCAGCTGGGGGGCCTGCTCCTCCCTGGCACACGCTTCTTTCTTGCTGACTTCCTTCTCCCTGGGCCCAGGCAGGTTTAGGAGCTGGAGCCTTTGTTAACAGAGGGGAGGGGGGATTGACACTGGGTTCCATACTCAGTTCCTCTGCCATGGAGCCAGGCCCAGCAGAGGTTCTTGCATGAGACAGATTTTGCATTTCCAGAAAAACCAAATTCCCTCCAGGCCGGACGGTGCTGAACCAGCCTACATCAAGCATCTGTGGGCAGAAGGGCCCTGGGATAGTCCAGTCCGATCTCCGAGCCAGCACAGAAAGGAATGGCACCGGCCACCCACGCACTGAGCCCAGACTCAAGTTAGCCCAAAGCATTTCAGTGCTCAGGGGATCTGGGCCACGTCTGCACCACAGCTACCACAGCACAGCTCCGGCCCAGGAGTGACACCGCCAGAGCTCTGGAACACAGACGCTTCCTGCAGCCAAGGGAGTGGCGTGCCCGGCGCAGGTGTTAATCCACCTCTGAGACTGCGGTGAGGGTGCTGGATGAATTCTTCCTTCTGCTTGGCTATCTAGCCCAGGGGTTAAGGCACCAGAGCGATGGCGCCGGGGGGGCCTCCATGGACCAGGCCTCTGCTTGCGAGCCATAGACAGAGAACAGGCAGAGCCCAGTGCCAGCTGAGACCAGCCCAAGGGACTCCAAGAACCAAAACTACGTTTTCAAATGTTGCCAGGCTGCCTGACTCTGGCGGGTTACCTGGGGAGCCACGGAGGAAAGAAACTGGCAGGGGTACAGCTCTGCCTCGCTGGCTGGCAGGGGGCTAGGTCTGCAAGGGGATCATGTCTACCCCATTAGCTGGCACAGGGGCAGGCCTCTGAGGTTGGCTGGCAGAGGGTCATGTCTGCCCCCTTGGCTGGCAAGGAGGCAGGTCCACCTGCCTGGTTTCTGTGGAAAGTATTATTAGCCAGGATGGTCAGGGATGCTGCCCCATGCTCCGGGTGACCCTAAACCTCTGACTGCCAGACTGCCTGATGGGATCGATCACTCGATAACTGGAGCACCAAGCATGGACCACTGGCAGCAGACAGGACACTGGGCTAGCTGGACCGTAGGGCTGACCCCGTGTGGCTGTTATGACTTGGCACTGCAGATTGCTTGCTTGGTCCCATTGGCACTTTCTGAGCCAAGCGCCCTGGCAGAAAACACACCAGTGGCTCTAACACCCAGAGTGTACAGGAGACGCTTGTCCATCACCCCTGAGCCCCACACCCCTAGCTGGGTCAGTGCCCACTCAAAGCCAGCACTAGCCTCTCCTTCCTTTGCAGAGGTCTGGGAAATATCTGCCCCCCCTCAGCTGCGCACACATGGTCCCAACCAAGCCAGCAGGGATGCAACCAGTACAACAACTCATAATGGGCTCAGACCTTGCACCCCCCACTGCTGGGGGGAAGAGGGCTGGAGAACTCAGGATAAGAGCCCCAGTGCTTGGGGAGAGGGGTCTGTGAGGCCAGGGAATACAGGGCAGAAGCCCTGTTGGTGGCGGTGGGGAGGAGGCTGGGATCTGGGGAACATGAACCGGAAGCCCCAGGGCTGTGGGTCTGGGGAACAGACCATACGGTACAACCCTGGCGTGGGCCCTCAGGGCTTCTCCAGCTGTTCCCTCTCTGCTCCCACCATAGGCAGCGTTCCCAGCCCACTGCAGCCAGAGCCAGCTCTGCCCCCAGCATTGGGCAGGGGAGCTATGGGGGCAGCAGCTGCTATAGAGAAAGCCAGGAGAGCGCCTGCCTGGGACAGTTGGGCCCTTCGCTCTACCCCCCACCTGCCACCTCCAATCAGAGATTGGGGGCTGCCATGCAGCACGCGGGGGCTGGTGGGAGCTGTCCAGGCTGCAGGGACAGACCCCTGCACTCCCCCAGAGGTGTAGGGCTGGGAAAGGGAGTGGTGGGATATTCGCCTGCTCCACACTCCCCCAAGGGCCCTGGGTCAGGCCACAAGGACAGACACCAGCACTCCCTGCAGAGGCATGGGGCTGGGTTTATTGCAGGGATTTCAAGCCTGCCCCACGCTCCCCCATGGCCCCTCATTTGTAGAACTCGTGCTCCTGCTCGTCCTTCTTGATAACTGTCTTGTATGCCTTCTCGAAGTCCTTGGCCAGGACGATGTAGCGGTTCTCCCGCACAGCCAGCATGCCGCCCTGTGCATACGGAGACACGTGTGAGGGGGCGCCGCTGGACGCAGTCACCCCCCAACCCTGGGCACACATGTGGGGATGCCACCGCCAGGCGCAGTGACCTCCCCATTCTGCCCTGTGCACACGCGTGGGGATGCTGCCACGAGGCCCAGTGACCCCCACATCCTGCCCTGAGCACACGGGGGACATGTGAGAGGGGGCGACACCAGGCGGAGTGACCCCTGCCCACTATGTGCACATGTGTAGGGTGGTGACGCTGGACACAGTGACCCCCCATCCCACCCTGTGCACATGGATGAGGAGGGGGACGCCAGGCGCAATGACCACCCCCAATCCTGCCCTGTACACAATGGGCATATGCGTGGGAGTGGGGTGGTTCTGAGCACAGTGACCCCTCCTGCACATACAGGCATGCGTGGGGGTGCATGACACTGGGTGCAGTGACACCCCCCCATCCCACCATGTGCACATGTGTATGTGTGTGTGTGGGGGGGGGGGGGGGAGGGGATGCCAGGCACAGTGCCCCCCCACCCCATGCACATGCGCCCAGCAGCAGAGGACCCCGTAATCTCAGAGTCAGGGCTCCTTCAGCCTGCCACGCGGGCGTCCTGCTGGCTTGGGGGAGCAGTGGGGGATCCCCAGAAAAGGAGCAGGTCACAACCCACACACCGCCACCCTCAGATATCACAGCCTGGGGCACCCAGGTGCCCTGCCCCATGGCCCCCAGCTCCCCGCACTCACCTCCTGGCAGATGGAGTTGATGTCGGCACCTGAGATCTTATCCGGCCGGGCCACATCTGGGGAGGAGTGAGGGAAATGTCTGCACAGCAGCTGAGCTGGACCATGGTGAGAGGGCCCCTGGGAGCCCCCGCCACTCCAAATCCTCCCCCACACACCAGGAGGCCAGAGAGGCTGCCAGGGCACTGTGGAGGGGGACCCTGATGGGCTTCTCCCAACCTAGGAGCAGGCGGGCTCCTCTGCCCCCTGCAGGGACACCAGCTCCCCAGAGGGATGGGATCAAGCTCGAGGGCCTGTGAGGCTCCTGGGCGGGCTGGGGGGAAGGGGGCAGATCGGCATGGTGACAAGCCCAGAGGACCCAGACAGGAGGAGCGGGCATGCTGGAGGCTAGAGTCAGAGGATGTATCTTTTGGCAAGTGTCCCCCCAACCCTTTCTGGACCCTGTGGATCCGGAGGCACAGGGAGGAGCCAGCTTCACCCCATCCCCCAGCTCCTGAGCGGAACCAGACAGCACCGGCTCGGCTATGCCAGGTTCCCCCTGCGAGTCCTGGGCCCTCCTGACTCATTACTTTGGCCTGCGGCCTGAGCCAGGCCCAACCCCCTGCCCTGTGGGCTGGTGTCCGGCTGCCCGCTCTCGATGAACCAATCGGTCCATATGCTGAGCCGGGCACTGCCCAGCAGGAGGCAGCCCCAGCCATGCCCTCTCCTGGTACTCTCCCTGTCCAGCCGCGTGTCAGAGGGGAACAGGACAGCTCCCAGCTGCCATGCCAGCCGCTGGGGCCTGACCCCACCCTGACCCCAGCCCTGGAGGTGGCCAGAAGACACCCCCTCCAGCCGGGGCTGCCCAGGGAGAGGAGGGGTTCTTGGGTCAGTGCACCCCCTGCACTCTCCGGCCTGTGTGTGTGACACGGGGAGAGTGGGGCAGAGCTGTAGCCTAGGTCACTAGGTCAATCCCTTGTGGGGCAGCACAGGGCTGACGGGCACCTTCTTATGAGCTGGGCCCGAGACACCCCTTCCTCAGTGCCAGGCACCCAGTGGGATGCAGCTGCCCCACCTTACCCCCCCATGCCAGCCAATGGGACGCAGCCTCCCCGCCGTGCACCCCCATGCCAGCCAGCAGGATGCAGCCTCCCCCCTGTGCTAGGCACCCAGCGGGACGCAGCCTCCCTGCCATGCCCCCCACTGCATGCTGGGCACCCAGCGGGACAGTCTTCCTGCTGTGCCACCCCTCCCCCCCGGTTCCGGGCTCCAGGCAGGATACAGTCCTCCAGGTCCACCTCCTCGGACAGGTTCATCTTGCTGGTGATGGTGGAGAAGATGAGGCGCTTCTGGCGCCGGTCGGGCAGGGGGAACTCAATCTTGCGGTCAAGGCGGCCAGGCCGCAGCAGAGCAGGGTCCAGTGTGTCTGCCCGGTTTGTGGCCATGATCACCTGGAGGACAGGAGCGTATGATCACGCCTCTGCCCATCCCCAATGGGGAGACTCAGCCCCCTGGGTCCTGCCCCCTCCAGCTTCGCTGAGACAGCAGTGCCCCATCCGCCCATCCAGCCCCCAACCCCTTCCAGCCTTGCTGGGACTGCAGTGCCCCATCCCCTCCCCGACACACACACTCCCTCCGGCCTCGCTGGGACAGCAGTACCCCATTCCCCTCACACTCCTCCAGCCTGGCTGGGACAGCAGTGCCCCTATCCCATTCAGCCCCCCACCTCCCACAGCCTCTGGGGGCTGGCACAGCAATGCCCGTCGTCACTCCACATCCCAGCCCCTGCTCTTCCGCACCTTGACGTTGACGTTCTGGTCAAAGCCGTCCATCTGGTTGAGCAGCTCCAGCAGGATGCGCTGCACCTCCCTGTCGGCTGGTGAGAGGGGCACAGCCTGGTGAGCGGGGCACCTGGAGAGCCAGCACAGGGCACGGACACCCCTGCCCCCACATTATCTACCCCCTCCCCCGCCCACCCCACCTCCTTCCCTCCAGCCCCTCCTCCCTCCCACCCCTTATCCCCTCCCCTCAATCGCCTGCCACTATTGTCCCCGCCCCATGCAACTCGGCTCTGCCCAGCACTGCCACCCCACAGTTGCACATCTCCGCCACTACCCCCAACCCTGCTGCCCCAACCTCCCTCGCAATCCCCACAGACCTGCCCACTCCCCACCCCACTGCCCACCATGGGACTGGCCAGAACCTGAGGAGTGAGGGGCTCACCCAAGTGTAACACTGACATCTACAAGGAGGGAGGTGGGGGCTGCAGCTCTCTGCTCCCCCCGCCTGCTGGGACTTGGGTCCAGTGCCCTAGAGGGGAGAGGCCCCATGTCCCATTCCCGCTCCCCTGAGCCAGCCCTGGGGACCAGATGGGAGATTGCGCCCCCAGAGGGGTGGGCCCAGTGCCCCACCTCCAGCTCACCCCCTGTCTGGGCGTCGAAGCGCTTGGTGGCGATGGCGTCAATCTCGTCTATGAAGATGATGGCGGGCGCGTTCTCCTTGGCCAGCCTGAAGACGTCCCGCACCATGCGCGGCCCCTCACCCAGGTACTTCTGCACAAACTCCGAGCCCACCACGCGGATGAAGGCAGCTGGACAGATGGGCAGACAGCATTAGTGCCCAGCTCCCCTGCAGGGCAGCAGCCCCCCTCCAGCCCTGGCCGTGACAGATGCCCCCCATGGGACAGGCACTCCCTGGGACAACCCACAGGCTCCCTGTGGCCACACAACCCTGGCACCAGTCCCTGGCACCTGCAGCACCAACCCTCCTGGGCACAAAGCCGGAGCCTTTCCAGACTTTGAGCTGGGACCACAGGTCACCTGGCACCTTTGCGCTATAGAACCCAGGCATCCTTGACAGACTCCCACGGTACCAGCTGGGCACTGGTGCTCCCCCTTCCCCCCGCAGTCCAGCACCCTGCTCACCTGTGGTGTGATGGGCCACGGCTTTGGCCAGCATAGTCTTCCCACAGCCGGGGGGGCCGTACATCAGGACGCCGCGTGGGGGGTCAATGCCGATCTGAGGGGGACAGAGGGGGTTACTGGGGGCTCCCCCATCCCGCCCTTGAGGAGCCCAGGAAGCTGGTGGGCTGGGGTCCTGACACCAGTCACATCCGTTGCAGCCCAGAGTCAAGGGTTCTGTGCCTCTCCTGATCTGACTGACTTGCCAACCGCAGCCCAGCCCCCGAGTGCACAGCCCTGAGGCCCCCAGGAGCCCTCCCAGCTGCAGGGCACAGTGAGACGAGCGCCCATGCTCAGCCTGCAGGACGAAGCTCAGCCCCAGCGCAGGGCACAGCCACCCAGGATGTAGTCCCAGCCGGCCCAGTCTCGCCCCCACCCCACACACACTCACCTGCTTGTAGAGCTCAAAGTGGGTGAGAGGCAGCTCCACGGCCTCCCTCACCTCCTGCTTCTGGATGTCCATCCCGCCGATGTCAGCGTACATCACGTCCGGTTTCTGATCTGTGGGCACACACCAGGGCTGAGCCCAACATGTCTAGGGGACCCATGCCTCCCCTACCCAGCACAGCCAGGGGACCTCTGCTCCCCACAAAACCTACACCCCCTGCACGCACAGCACACCTAGGGGAACCCCACCCCCCTGTCCAGCACAGCCAGGGGACCCCCACCTCCCCTGTCCAGCACTCCCTGCATGCCCAGCATGGGCGTGAGACCCCTGTACGCCCATGGGACTGCGGCCACCCACACACCCGTGGGACCCTCAGCTGCCCAGCACAGCTGGGAGACCTCCGTCCCCATAGGCACTGGGCACGCTGCTCCCTGTGGCACCGGCTGCCCCTGGGGCTGGCGCAGGGAGCACCCACCTGATGTCAGCATCATAATGCTGCTGTCAGCCTCGGGTGGCAGCACATCCACCAGCGCGTTGCTGTGCTTGTGCAGGGCCACTGAAGCGTTGGGCTTCAGCAGCTCCCGGTCAATGGTGCTCAGGATCCGCACGTAGTAATTGGAGCCTGCGGGTGAGAGGCAGAAGGGGGTAAGCTAGGCAAAGCCGGGGGCCGGACCCCTGTGCGCAGTTCCCCTCTCCCCCAATCCCCCAATCCCCTTCCTGCAGCCCCCTAGCTGCACCTGTGGTAGAGCCCACAATGGCCGTGTTCTGGTCCACGGCCTCCAGGAACTGGCCGATGACCAACGGGATGCTCTGGATGCGCTTCACCTCCTCCTGCGCGTGCAAGAACTCCTTCTTCAGGTTCTTCTGCTCGTCCTTGATGTACTCCTCCTGCACCTCCAGGAACTCCAGCTCCTGCTGCAGCTTCTACGGACGGACAGACAGACAGAGCAGGGAGGAGGGGCTGTCTGTCTGCTCAGGTGCCTGCAGTAGCTGCTAGAGGAAGTGGCTCCACGGGCCGGGCACCAGGCAGCTCCCCGCTCAGCACTGCGGCTGGGTGCCCTGCAGAGAAGTGGGCTTCCAGGGGCACCGTGCAGCAGAGGGGAATGGGACTGGAAGAACCAAACCCACCGGAGGTTACTGGGGCCCAGATCTCCCAAGTCCCTGGTCTCGCGACCCTGGTCAGAAGTGTCATCAGATCCCAACTCCGGGCCAAGGGCACATGCTGCCCCCACCTCGGGGCCTGCCATCCCAGCCTGCCACCCACAGCTCCCGCCGAGGGCATCCCCTTCAGGGCCTGCCGTCCCAGCACCCCTATCCCCACCATCCGGTCCTAGGGCTGCTCCCACCCTGGGGCCTACCCTCCCCACACATCTCCCATCCAAGGGCAACCCTCTCCCGCCACCCCAGCCCCCAGCTCACCTTGTAGCGGCTGTAGAGATCCTCCAGGTCCTCGGGCTCCGGGGCAAGGAAGGACAGGCCAGTCTGGGGCCTGGAGATAGCCAGCACAGGCAGCTCATCCTAGGACAGCCACAGATAGGCAGGGTGAGAGCTGGACACCCCAGAGTGCCATGACCGCAGCTCAGGGGAGGGGTGAAGCTCCCTCTGAGCAGCGAAGGTCTCACATCCGATCTGATCCCACCCAGCTGCCGGGGAGCCAAGAACCAGGGCCCTGAGCCCAGCTGGGCAACAAGAGTCAGACGCTCCCATCCCCCCCATCAGATAGGGATGGGGGGAACAAAGGGACTAGAGGGACATGAGAGATTTTCTGACTAATTTGAACGAATTCAAATCACCCGGGCCAGATGCTATTCACCCGAGGGTGCTGAAGAAATATCAGAGCCACTGGTGATAGCATTTGTAAATTAATGGCTGACAGGAGAGGTCCTGGAACACTGGAGAAGAGCGAACGCAGTGCCCATATTTAAAAAGGGGGAAAAGAAGGAGCCAGGGAACTATAGACCACTCAGCCTGGCCTCAGTACCTGGGAAGGTACTAGAGCAATGTATGAAACATTCCATTTGCGAACACCTGGAGGATGAAGGGGTGATCACCAGCAGCCAGTATGGATTTACCAAGAACAAATCACACCAAAACAGCTTGATTTCCTTCTTTGACAGGATTTGGTGGATAGGAGCAATGCAGTGGAAAGAATATACCTGGACTTCAGCAAGGCTTTTGATTAGGGTTGTCAAGCAATTAAAAAAATTAATTGCGATTAATCGTGCTGTTAAATAATAACAGAATACCATTTGTTTAAATATTTCTGGGTGTTTTCTACATTTTCAAATATATTGATTTCAATTACAATACAGAATGCAAAGTGTATAGTGCTCACTTTATTTTTATTACAAATATTTGCACTGTAAAAAACAAGAAATATCTTTCAATTCACCTAATACAAGTAGTGTAGTGTAGTGTAATCTCTTTATCATGAAAGTTGAAGTTACAAATGTAGAATTATGTACAAAAAAAACTGCATTCAAAAATAAAACAATGTAAAACTTTAGAGCCTACACGTTCACTCAGTCCTACTTCTTGTTCAGCCAATCGCTCCAACAGACAAGATTGTTTACATTTGCAGGATTTAATGCTGCCCATTTCTTGTTTACAATGTCACCTGAAAGTGAGAACTGGCATTGGCCTGGCACTTTGTAGCCAGCGTCGCAAGATATTTACGTGCCAGATGCGCTAAAGTTCACATGTCCCTTCATGCTTCGACCACCATTCCAGAGGACACACGTCCATGCTTATGGCGGGTTCTGCTTGATAACGATCCAAAGCAGTGCGAACCGATGCATGTTCATTTTCATCATCTGAGTCAGATGCCACCAGGAGAAAGCTGATTTTCTTTTTTGGTGGTTCGAGTTCTGCAGTTTCTGCATTGGAGTGTGGCTCTTTTAAGACTTCTGAAAGCATGCTCCACACCTCGTCCCTCTCAGATTTTGGAAGGCAAGTTCAGATTCTTAAACCTTGGGTCAAGTGCTGTAGCTATCTTTAGAAATCTCACATTGGTACCTTCTTCGCATTTTGTCAAATCTGCAGTGAAAGTGTTCTTAAAACGAACAACATGTGCTGGGTCATCATCTGAGACTGGCATAACACGAAATATATGACAGAAAGCGGGTAAAACAGAACAGGAGACATAAAACTCTCCTCCAAGGAGTTGAGTCACAAATTTAATTAATGTGTTTTTTTTTTTTTTTTTAAACAAGCATCATCAGCATGGAAGCATGACCTCTGGAATGGTGGTAGAAGCATAAAGGGGCATATGAATGTTTAGTATATCTGGCACGTAAATACCTTGCAATGACAGCTACAAGAGTGCCATGCGAACACCTGTTCTCACTTTCAGTCAACATTGTAAATGAGAAGCTGGCAGCTTTATTGCCCGTAAATGTAAACAAACTTGCTTGACTTAGCAACTGGCTGAACAAGAAGTAGAACTCAGTGAACTTGTAAGCTCTAAAGTTTTACATTGTTTTGTTTTTTAGTGCAGTTGTGTAACAAAAACCCCCGCAAGTTGCACTTTCATGATAAAGAAATTGCACTGCAGTACTTGTATGAGGTGAATTGAAAAATACTATTTCTTTTGTTTATAATTTTTATAGTGCAAATATTTGTAATAAAAAATAATATAAAGTGAGCACGGTATACTTTGTATTTTGTGTTGTAATTGAAATCAATATATTTGAAAATGTAGAAAAACATCCAAAAATATTTAAATAAATTTCAATTGGTCTTCTATTGTTTAACAATGTGATTAAAACTGCAATTAATCACGATTCATTTTTTTAGTTGATCGTGTGAGTTAACTGCGATTAATCGAGAGCCCTACTTTTGACACAGTCCCACATGACAGTCTGATAAGTAAGCTGGAGAAATGCAGGCTCGATAGAACTACCATTGAGTGGATACATAATTGGTTAAACAACCGCAAACAAAGAGTAACTATTAATGGAACGATGTCAGATTGGAAGGAGGTATCAAGTGGGGTTCCACAGGGATCTGTTCTGGGTCCAGTGTTTAACATCTTTATTAATGACTCAGAAGTAGAAATAGAGAGCAAACTGATCAAATTTGCAGATGACACAAAGCGGGGGTTGGTGGGTGTGGGGGTTTGCAAACACTTTGGAGGATAGATCTAAAATTCAGAGGGATCTTGATAAATTGGAGAACTGGGCTATAGGCAACAAAATGAAATTCAACAAAGACAAATGTCAGGTGCTACACTTAGGGAAGAAAATCCAAATGCACACATACAGAATGGGGGATTACTGGCTTGGCAGCAGCATTGCTGAGAAGAATCTGGGAGCTGTGGTGGATCACAACCTCAACATGAATCAGCAATGCAATGTGGTTGCAAAAAAAAGCAAATGCAATTTTGGGTTGCATTAACAGACGCCCAGCATGCAAGTCATGGGAGGTGACAGTACCACTCTACTTGGTGCTGGTTAGGCCTCAGCTGGAGTACTGTGTTCAGTTTTGGTCACCAATGTATAGAAAGGATGTAGAGAAACTGGAAATGATCCAGAGGTGAGCGACAAAGATGATCAAAGAGATGGACTGCAAACCATCTGAGCAAAGGCTGAAGGAATGGGTAGATGTAGTTTGGAAAAGAGGAGATTAAGTGGGGAACATGATAGTGGTCTTCAACTACTTGAAAGGCTGCCATAAAAAAAGATGGAGAACAGTTGCTCTCTCTTGCCATGGAGGGCAGGACAAGAGGCAACGGGTTCAAACTACAGCACAGTAGATTTATATTAAATCTGAGGAAAAACTTCCTAACAGTAAAAAACAGTGGGACAATGGAACAGACACCTAGGGAAGTTGTGGAAGTTCCTTCACTGGAGATTTTCAAAAGGAGGCTGGAGCCATCTGTCTTGGATGGTTTAGACACAACAAATCCTGCATCTTGGCAGGTGCTTAGACTAGATGACCCCTGCGGTCCCTTCTAGCCCTATGAGTCTAGATAGGTCAAATAGCAGAGAGAAATAGGAGTGAGGCCTAGTGGTTAGTGCAGAACTCCTGGGTTCTACCCCTGGCTCGGAAGGGGGTATAGTGGTTAGAGCAGGGAGGCTGTGAATCAGAACAGATAAAAATTGATTTTTAATTAGTTTTTCAAAATCTAAATTGGATTTTTTATTTAAATTAAATTCCGGTTAAGAAAAATGAATCAATTTTAAAATAAATTTGAAATAGACATCTTATGTTATGTCCTAATTTTACTATATTCTATTGAAATAATTGAATTACAATTATCCAATGTTAAGCAGTACACGTTTGCTGATATATTCTATAGAACAGTTGTTTTCAAACTTTTTTTCTAGTGACCCAGTTGAAGAAAACTGTTGATGGCCGCGACCCAATGGAGTTGGGGATGGGGGGTTTGGGGTGAGGGAGGGGCTCAGGGCTGGGCCAGGGTTGGGGTGCAGGGGTGAGGGCTGCAGAGTGGGGCTCGGAATGAGGGGTTCAGGTTGTGGGAGGGGGCTCTGGGCTGGGTCTTGGGGTGCAGGAGGGGGCCAGAGCTCTAGGCTGGGGGTGCAGGCTCTGGGCTGGGGATGAGGAGTTTGGGTGCAGGAGGGGGCTCGGGGCTGGGCCAGGGGGTTGGGGTGCAGGAGGAGCTTAGGGCTCTGGGGTGGGGCCAGGGATGAGGGATTTGGGGTGCAGGAAGGGGCTCCAGGTTTGGGGGGGCTCAGGGCTGGAGATTGGGGCATGGGGTTACCTCAGATGGCTTCCAGTCAGCAGCGCAGCTGGGGTGCTAAGGCAGGCTTCCTGCCTATCCTGGCACTGTGGACCATGCTGTGCCCCGGAAACAGCCAGTAGCAGGTCTGGTTCCTAAGTGGAGGCACGCAAGCCTGCCTAGGAGCCGGACCTGCTGCTGGCCACTTCCAGGGCGCAGTGCTGTGTCAGAACAGGTAGCGAGTAACCTGCCTTAGCCGGGCAGCACCGCCGACAGGACTTTTAACAGCCCGGTCGGCAGTGCTGACCAGTGCCTTACATTTCGAAACCCAGTACTGGGATGTGACCCGCAGTTTGAAAACCACTGTTCTAGAAAGTCAGGCCACCAAACCAGTAAAAGTCAGTGGCTGGAACTAGAGTTTGGGAGAGGGCTAAACCAGCCTTTGCTGCAGCGCAGAGACGACATTGCCCTCAATGCAGTTCATTCATTAACCAGTTTACTCCACATTAAGAAACCAAATGGGAGTTAAAAAAAAAAGCAGGAAAGCTTGTTTTTCTCTTCCAGTCTATGAATACAAGCGAGCTGAGAGAGGATCAGCTGAGTGGCGAACAGCAGAGGGAGTTTGACTGGGAGTTCGCCTGGGGAGAGCCCACAGACATTCAACTTGGAGGCTCCTCTGAGTAGTTGCTGCAGCAGCTGAGGAAGCTCTTAGAAGGAAGGTGCTATGGATGGTGAGCGATCAGCTGTTGTGACCTGCAGGGGATGTGCCATGTTTGTTTTTCTTCCACAGGAAACAAACGACTTTGTCTGTACAAAGTGCAAGCTGGTCTCCACATTG